GTTCCACTGTATCATTTGTCTATCCTTGCACCTGTACCACATTTTCTTAATTATTTTAATTTCAGTAAGTCTTGAACCTTCTCTGGTTACTCTGATGGTAAAGAATCTTCCTGCAATGTGGGAGACCTGGATTCAATCCCTGGATTGGGAAGATCCCCTGGAGAAGGGCATGGCAACCCACTTCAGTATTCTTGCCTGGAGAAACCCCATGGACAGAGGAGCCTGGTGGGCTACAGTCTGTTTGGTCACAAAGAGTTTGACATGACTGAGTGACTAAGCACACATAGTAAGTCTCAGTTCAGTTCAGTCACTCAGTCATGTTTGACTCTTTCTAATCCCATGGACTGCAGCATGCCAAGCCTCCCTGTCCATCACCAACTCCCGGAGTTTACTTAAACTCCTGTCCATTGAGTTGGTGATGGCATCCAACCACCTTATCCTCTGTCGTTCCCTTCTCCTCCTGCCTTCAATCTTTCACAGCATCACAGTCTTTTCCAATAAATCACTTCTTTGCATCAGGTGGCCAAAGTATCAGAGTTTCAGCTTAAGTATCAGTCTTTCCAATGAATATTCAAGACTGATTTCATTTAGGATTGACTGGTTGGATCTCCTTGCAGTCCAAGGAACTCTCAAGAGTCTTATCCAACACTACAGTTCAAAAGCATCAATTCTTCAGTGCTCAGATTAGCCCAACTCTCACATCCTTGTAGGCTGGAAAAGCCATAGCTTTGACCAGACAGACATTTATTGGCAAAGCAATGTCTCTGCTTTTTAATATGCTGTCTAAGTTGGTCATACCTTTTCTTCCAAGGAGTAAGCATCTTTTAATTTCATGGCTGCAGTCACCATCTGCAGTGATTTTGGAGCCCCCAAAACTAAAGTCTCTCACTGTTTCCATTGTTTCCCCATCTATTTGCCATGAAGTGATGGGACTGGATGCCATGATTTTAGTTTTCTGAATGTTGAGTTTTAAGTCAACTTTTTCACTCTTTGCTTTCACTTTCATCAAGAGTCTCTTTAGTTCTTTGATTTCTGCCATAAGGGTGGTGTCATCTGCTTATCTGAGGTTATTGATATTTCTCCTAGCAATCATGATTCCTGGGTAACTTCAATTTAGAGAAGTTATGTTGTTGTTTCTCTTGCCAGCTGCTTAGGTCACTCTTGGATTTTGTATTTTGTATACATTTTTGAGCTGAAGCTCCAATACTTTGGCCACCTGGAGTGAAGAGCTGACTCATTTGAAAAGACCCTTAAGCTGGGAAAGACTGAAGATGAGAGGAGAAGGGGACGACAGAGGATGAGATGGTTCGATGGCATCACTGACTCAATGGACATGAGTTTGAGTAAATTCCAGGAGTTGGTGATGGACAGGGAGACATGATGTGTTGCAGTCCATGGGGTTGCAAAGAGTTGCACAGGGCTGAGTGACTGAACAACAATATCATAAATTTTGAATCAGCTTGTCATGTTTCACACAGAAAAAAAGCATAAGGGAATTTGATTGCAGTTAGATTTAATCTGTATGTAAATTTGAGAATTATTAACTTTGACAGCACTGAGTTTCCCAATTCATTGGCAAAATATATCCTTTCATTCAGTTAGGTCTTGAATTCCTCTCAAATGTTTTGCACATCTTTAACTAGGTTTTCTCCTAGGAATTTCCTTTTTTGGGTTTGATATTATTCAGTCAGTCAGTTCAGTCACTCAGTCGTGTTTGACTCTTTGCGACCCAATGGACTCTGGCACACTAGGCCTCCCTGTCCATCACCAACTCCTGGAGTCTTCTCAAACTCACATTCATCGAATCAGTGATGCAATGCAATCATCCTGTCGTATGTCATCCCCTACTCCTGCCTTCAATCTTTCCCAGCACCAGGGTTTTTTCAAATGAGTCAGTTCTTTGCATCAGGTGGCCAAAGTATTGGAGTTTCAGCTTCATCATCAGTCCTTACAATGAATATTCAGGACTGATTTCATTTGGGATTGACTGGTTGGATCTCCTTGAAGTCCAAGGGACTTTCAAGAGTCTTCTCCAACACCACAGTTAAAAAGCATAAATTCTTCAGCGCTCAGCTTTCTTTATAGTCCAACTCTCACATCCATACATGACTACTGGAAAAACCATAGCCTTGACTAGATGGACCTTTTTTGGCAAAATAATGTCTCTGCTTTTTAATATGCTGTTTAGGTTGGTCATAACTTTCCATCCAAGGAGGAGTAAGCGTCTTTTAATTTCATGGCTGCAATCATCATCTGTAGTGATTTTGAAGCCCCCCAAAATAAAGTCAGACACTGTTTCCAGTGTTTCCCCATCTATTTTCCATGAAGTGATGGGACCAGACTCCATGATCTTAGTTTTCTAGATGTTGAGCTTTAAGCCAACCTTTTCACTGTCCTCTTTCACTTTCATCAAGAGGCTCTTTAGTTCTTCACTTTCTGCCATAAAGGTGGTGTCATCTGCATATCTGAGGTTATTGATATTTCTCGTGGCAATCTTTATTCCAGCTTGTGCTTCATCCAGCCCAGCATTTTGTATGACGTATTCTGCCTATAAGTTAAATAAGCAGGGTGACAATATACAGTCTTGACATACTCATTTTCCTATTTGGAACCAGTCTGTTGTTCCTTTTCCAGTTCTAACTGTTGCTTCCTGACCTGCATACAGGTTTCTCAAGAGGCAGGTCAGGTGGTCTGGTATTCCCATATCTTAAAGAATTTTCTACAGTTTGTTGTGATCCACACAGTCAAAGGCTTTGGCATAGTCAATAAAGCAGAAATAGATATTTTCCCAGAACTCTCTTGCTTTTTTGATGATGCAATGGATGTTGACAATTTGATCTCTGGTTCCTCTGCCTTGTCTAAATGCAGCTTGAACATCTAGAAGTTCATGGTTCATGTTTTGTTGAAGCCTGGCTTGGAGAATTTTGAGCATTAATTTACTAGAGTGTGAGATGAGTGCAATTGTGCAATAGCATGAGCATTCTTTGGCATTCCCTTTCTTTGGGATTGGAATGAAAACTGACCTTTTCCAGTCCTGTGGCCACTGCTGAGTTTTCCAAATTTCTGACATATTGAGTGCAGCACTCTCACAGCATCATCTTTTAGGATTTGAAAGAGCTCAACTGGAATCCATCACCTCCACTAGCTTTGGTTGTAGTGCTGCTTCTAAGGCCCTTGACTTCACATCCCAGGATGTCTGGCTCTAGGTGAGTGACCACACCATCGTGATTATCTGGGTCTTGAAGATCTTTTTAGTACCATTTTTCTGTGTATTCTTTCCACCTCTTCTTAATATCTTCTGCTTCTGTTAGGTCCATACTATTTCTGTCCTTTATTGAGCCCATCTTTGCATGAAATGTTCCCTTGGTATCTCTAAGTTTCTTGAAGAGATCTCTACTCTTTCCCATTCTATTGTTTTTCCCTGTTTCTTTGCACTGATCACTGAGGAAGTCTTTCTTATCTCTCTTTGCTATACTATTGATGTGCTATGCTTTGTGCTTAGTCCCTCAGTCATGTCCAACTCTTTGTGACCCCATGGACTGTAGCCCTCCAGGCTCCTCTGTCCATGGGGATTCTCCAGGAAAGAATAGCAGAGTGGGTTGCCATGCCCTTCTCCAGGGGATCTTCCCAACCCAAGGATCAAACCTAGGTCTCCTGCATTGCAGGCGGATTCTTTACCATATGAGCCACCAGACTCAAAAGCCCTACACTATTGGTACTAAGTATAAAATAGATATTGCCTGGAGAATCCCATAGACATGGAACCTGACGGGCTACAACCCATAGTGTCACAGAGTCAGACAAGATTGAAGTGACTTAGCATGCACTCTCACATAATAACCTATTGTACAGCACAGGGAACACTACTCAGTGTTCTGTGGTGACCTAAATAGGAAGTAAATCCAAGAAAGTGTGGATATACAAATATATATGTGTGTGTGTGTGTGTTGTTGCTATTGTTTAGTTGCTGAGTTGTGTACAACTCTTTTGTGATCCCTTGGACTGCAGCCTGCCATGCTCCTTTGCCCATAGTATTTCCCAGGCAAGAGTACTGGAGTGGTTTGCCATTTCTTTCTCCAGGGGATCTTCCCAACCCAGGGATGGAACTCCAGTCTGCTGTTTGCCAGGCAGATTCTTTACCATTGAGTCACCTAGGAAGCCCATATGTATATGTATAACTTACTAAATTTGCTGTATAGCAGAAGCTACCACAGAAGTGTAAAGCAATTATACTCAAATAAAAATAAATAAAGTAAATTTTCTGTTAGGTAACTCTAAGAGTCAAATACCCTGGGAATTTTTTTAATATTTCTTTTTCCTCTTGGTTTTCCATGAGATCTCTTTTATATACGTATTTTCTAAAACACAAACATTGTAGATAAAAAGTTGCACAAATCCTTCAGAAAGGATCTTGTTTTGCTTCTTCTATTTAAGGGATATATTTAAGGACAGACCAACTTATTTAAACCCATTCTTAAGGCAAAGTTTGGCTTAAAACAGGAATTGTGGCCTTGTCAGTACTAGGGCTCTTCATAGAGAAGGGAAGCACTAAGATTATGATAATTTTACTGGTATGTTGCAGCTTTCATCTCAGCTCCATCACTATGTCATTATTTATTTTTTTTCTTTTGAAATTTTCACTTTGCATTGGGGTATAGCCGATTAACAGTGTTACTATGGTTTCAGGTGAATAGCCAGGGACTCAGCCATATATATATATATATCCATTTTCCCCCAAATTCCCCTCCCCTCCTAAGAATTATTTAGTTTAACTGAGTTTCCTGTTGTTCAACCTTCCCAACCCTCTAATTATTGCTGTTTCTTCAGGAAACCAGACCCAGGTGCTGCCCCAGTGCAACGACTCCGTGTCTGAACCAGTAGGGTCTGTGGCCTCAGAGGAGAGCGCCCCCTACTGCTCAGGTGAGGGTCCTACAGGACAGAAGACCCTTCTCATTTCCCAGGTCAACGCCCCATTGTCCCATTTCTCTCTCCTCAGACAGCAGACAGCTCCGCCTGGTGGACGGGGGCGGTCCCTGCGCTGGGAGAGTGGAGATCCTTGACCAGGGCTCCTGGGGCACCATCTGTGATGACGGCTGGGACCTGGACGATGCCCACGTGGTGTGCAGACAGCTGGGCTGTGGAGAAGCCCTCAATGCCACGGGGTCTGCTCACTTCGGGGCAGGATCAGGGCCCATCTGGCTGGACGACCTGAACTGCTCAGGAAAGGAGTCCCACGTGTGGAGGTGCCCTTCCCGGGCCTGGGGGCAGCATGACTGCAGACACAAGGAGGATGCGGGAGTCATCTGCTCAGTTCCGCACTGCACATTGTCCACAGTTTGGGGAAGGGATGGGGCTCTGGAGGACGGGATCTGAGCCCCGAGGGAGAGATGCTGAAAGGGCCAGAGAAGGAGGCTTCCTCCCAGGGAGCTTATCTTTCCAGCAGACAAGAAGATGAGGTGCTTTCATTTCCTCCTGCAGCTGACGATCTGGCCCTTTCTTCTCAAAGTGTTCCCTGGCAGAGTCTTTTTTCACAGTTTTTCTTCAAATCAGGGCTCACTCTTCTGGTACATATGGTAGAGAAGTCTTAAAGCCATGGTGCTAGTTTTTGTTTGTTGTGTAACAAATTGCCACATAGCTAATGGTTTAAAACAACACATTTCTTTCCTTACACTTCTGTAGCTTAGATATCCAGCAGGGATCTCGCTGGACTGGGATCAAGGTTTCAGCAAGGCCACATCCCTTCTGAGCCTCTGGGAAAGAATCTATTTCCTGTCTTTTCAAGCTTCTAGAAACCTCCTACCTTCCTTCACTCATAACCCCATTCTGCTCATCATCAGACCAGCAATGCTCCACCTCTCTAACCATTATCCATATTCATATGTCCCTCTAGCCAGAATGAGGAAAAGTATTCCACTTTAAAGAATAGTGGGTCTATCACTATTCTTAGTGGGTCTAAGAATGTGATTAGACTGTGCTCAGGTGGTTAATCCACCATATTTCAGGTTAATCTCAACACCCCAAGGTCCTTACCTTAATCAAAAGTCCCCTTTGCCAGAGAGGGGAACAGTCACAGGTCCATTATTCTATCTTCCTCCACACTGTCCACATCACATCCCTTTCATACACTCTTTTAGATGTTTTTTCAGGAAGCAGGAGTCAGCTCCCTCTCCCTGCAGGTGTCCAGATTGGTCTTCCTCTCAGTTCTTATCCACCACATCACGTTGGTAGAAATATTTAGAAAGACAGACACAAACGGACAAAGTCAGATAGAAAAGAGACAAGTTTCACTCTGGTCATCTAATGGATTTACTTCCTCAGCTGGGTCAAAGATGAATGTTCACAATTTTGGGGGGAGAGGAAAACCCAGAGCACTCAGTGCAGTGCTCACTGTGTCCTGTCTTTTCCATTTTGATCTTAGAGTTCCTGGCCCTCAGGATGGTGAGCGAGGACCAGCAGTGTGCTGGGTGGCTAGAAGTTTTCTACAACGGGACCTGGGGCAGTGTCTGCCGCAGCCCCATGGATGATGTCACCGTGTCCATCATCTGCAGACCGCGTGGCTGTGGGGACAGTGGAGCCCTCAACTCTTCTGTTGGTCTCAGGGAAGGTTCTAGACCCCAGTGGGTAGATTTAATCCAATGTCAGAAAACGGATACCTCTCTCTGGCAGTGTCCTTCTGACCCTTGGAAATACAGTTCATGCTTTCCAAAAGAGGAAGCCTACATCTCATGTGCAGGTGACTCATGTCTATTTCTGTGTCTGTCCGAACCCTGTAGGATATTATTAGTGAGATTTGATATTTTAAAATCTAAGTGATGCGTTTAAGTTGAGTTTATAAAATGAAGTTTGGATGGAGCAAATTTGATCCATGTATTTCAAGCTTGCTTTATTAAAATTTTTTGATATAATTGACATAACTTTATATTGTTTGCCATTGCAACATAATGGTTATGTATTTTTGTATATTGATAAATGATCACTGCAGTAAGTCTAGTTATATCCATCACCATGTATGTAGCTAAATATTTTTCATATATGATAAGAATGTTTAAGATGTCTTTTCTCACCATCTTTCAAATAGACAATACGGTATTCACTATGCTCTCTTAACTTATTAATTTTATAACTTACATTTATACCTTTTGACTACCTTTGCCCACACCAAATCCCCCACCTCTGGCAGCCACGAATTACTCAGCATCTCTGAACTTGCTTTTTGAGTTAAGACTACACATATAAATGAGATCATATGTTGTTTTTCTTTCTCTGTCTGGTTTCTTTCACTTAGCATAATGCCCTCAAGGTCCATCCATGTTGTTGAAATTGGCAAGATTTTCTTCTTTTTTATGGGTGGATATATATCTGCATTACATTTTCTTTATTCATTCATCCATCAGTGAAGACTTACATTGTTTGGCTCTTGTATATTGCTATAAAATACTAAAAAATGATGCTATTAAAGTACTGTGGCCAATATGTCAGGAAATTTGGAAAATTCAGCAGTGGCCACAGGATGGGAGAAGGTCAGTTTTCATTCCAATCTCAAAGAAGGGCAATGCCAAAGCATCTTCAAACTATCCCACAATTGTGCTCATTTCACATGCTAGCAAGGTTATGCTCAAAGTCTTTCAAGCTAGGCTTCAGCAGTAAGTGAACTGGGAACTTCCAAAATGTACAAGCTGGATTTTGAAAAGGCAGAGGAACCAGAGATCAAATTGCCAACATTTGTTGGATCATAGAGTAAGCAAGAGAATTCCAGAAAACATGTGCTTCACCGACTACACTAAAGTCTTTGACCATGTGGATCTCAACGAAATGTGGAAAATTCTTAAAGACATGGGAATACCAGACCACCTTACCTGCCTCCTGAGAAACCTGTCTGCAGCTCAAGAAGCAGCAGCTAGAACTGGACATGAAACAACCGACTGGTTCCAAATTGGGAAAGGAGTTCATTAAGGCTATATATTGTCACCCTATTTATTTAACTTATATGCAGAGTACATCATGGGAAATGCCTGGCTGGAAGAATCAAAAGCCGGAATCAAGATTGCTGTGAGAAATATCAACAACCTCAGATACGCAGATGATACCATTCTAATGGCAGAAAGTGAAGAAGAATTGAAGAGCTTCTTGCTGAGGGTGAAAGAGGAGAGTGAAAAAGCTGGCTTAAAACTCAACATTCTAAAAACTAAGATCGTGGCATCTGGCCCAATCACTTCATGGCAAATAAAAGGGGAAAAAGTGGAAACAGTGACAGATTTTCTTTTTTTCCGCTCCATAATCACTGCCAATGCTGTTTTCAGCCATGAGATTTAAAGAGGCTTGCTCCTTGGAAGGAAAGCTATGAGAAACCTAGACAGAGTATTAAGAAGCAGAGACATCACTTTGCTGACAAAGGTCCATATAGTCAAAGCTATGTTTTTTCCATTAGTCATGTGTGGATGTGAGAGTTGGATTATAAAGAAGCTGAATGCTAAAGAGTTGATGATTTTGAATTATGGTGCTTGGACACCACAATTGAATTGAGAGTCCTCTGGGCAGCAAGGAGATCAAACCAATCAACCCTAAAGGAATTCAACCCTGAATATTCTTTGGAAGGACTGATGCTGAAGCTGAAGCCCCAGTACTTTCGCCACTTGATGAGAAGATCTGACTCATTGGAAAAGACCCTGATGCTGGGAAAGACAGAAGGCAAAAGAAGAAGGGGGCCACGGAGGATGAGATAGTTAGATAGCATCACCAGTTCAGTGGACATGAATTTGAGCAAACTTTGGGAGATAGTGAAGGACAGAGGAGCCTGGTGTGCTGCAGTCCATGGGGTTGCAAAGAGTCAGACACAACCTAGCAACTGAACATATGTTGCTGCACTGAACATTGGGTTTTCAAGTTAGTGTTTTTGTTTCCTTCAGATAAATACCCTAAATTGAAATTCCTAAATCATATGGCAGTTCTATTTTTAATTTTTGATGCACCTCAACTGTTTCCATAATGGCTGCATCAACTTACATTGCCTCTAACTGTGCAAAAGCTTTCCTGTCTCTTCACATTCTCCTCAACTCCTGTTATTTCTTCTTTTTGATAAAAGCCTTTCTAGAAGATATGAGGTGATATCTCATTGTGGTTTTGATTTGTATTTTCTGATGATTAGTATTGTTGAGCACGTTTTCATGTACCTGTTGGCAAGTTGTATGTATTCTTTAAAAAAATGTCTATTCAGGTTCTCTGCCCATTTTTTAAAAAATCAGATATTTTTTGCTATTGAGTTGTTTGAGTTGTTTGTGTACTTTGGATAATAATCCTTACCAGAAATATAATATGTAAATATTTTCTCCAATTCCCCAGGTTGCTTTTTCATTTTGTTGATGGTTTCCTTAATTGGGCAGAAGCTTTTCATCCTTATGTGGTCCCAACTGCTTGTTTTAACTTTTGTTCCCTTTGCTTTTGGTGTCAAATCCAAAAAATCATCACAAAGACTGGTGTCAAGGATTTTATTTTCTGTTTTTTTCCTGTAGAAATTTTATGGCTTCATGACTTGTGATCAAGTCTTTAATCTATTTTGAGCTAATTTTTGTGAATGGTGTAAAATAGTGGTCCAGTTTCATGCTTTTGCATGTGGCTGTCCAGTTTTCCCAATGCTATTTGCTGAAAACACTGTCCTTTCCCCACTGTATATTCTTGGCTTCTTTGTCAAGTTAATTTACCATAGAAACGTGGGTTTATTTATGGGCTGTCTATTCTGTTCCATTGATATCTGTGTACATTTTTATCCCAACAACATACTGTTTTCATTAATACAGCTTTGTAATATAGCTTGAAATCAGGAAGCACGACACCTCTAGCTTTGTTGTTCATTCTCAAGATTGCTTTGGTATTCAGCATCTTTTGCGGTTCCATGCAAATTTTAGGATTGTTTCTTCTGTATCTGTGAAAATTCCCATTGGAATTTTTATATGGATTTCAGTGAATTTGTAGATTGCTTCGGGTAGTGTGGGCATGTTAATAATATTAGATCTTCCAATCCATGAGCACAGAATATCTTTCCATTTATTTGAGTCTTCTTCAGTATCTTTCATCAGTGTCTTATAGTTTTCAGTGTACAGGTCTTTCACCTCCTTGGTTAAATTTATTCCTAGGTTTTTTATCCATTTTTTTTGCAAATGTAAACAGAATGGTTTTCTCAGTTTCTCTTTATGGAAGTTTGTTGTTAGTGTATAGAAATGCAACTGATTTTTGTATATAGATTTTTCATTCTACAACTTTACTGAGTGTATTAGTTCTCATATGTTTGGTGAAGTCTTTAGTGTTTTCTACATATAATATCAAGTAAGGGAGTTTCTTTCCTCATGACTCTGATGGTAAAGAATCTGTCTGTAATGCAAGAGTCCTGGGTTCGATTCCTGGGTCGGGAAGATCCCCTGGAGGAGGAAATGGCAACCCACTCCAGTATTCTTGTCTGGAGAATCCCATGGACAGAGGAGCCTGGTGGGCTATAGTCCTTAGGGTCGCAAAGAGACAGACTCCAGTGAGTGACTAACACTTTCATTTTTCAATCTGGAAATAGTATCAATTTTTTGATACTTCCTTTTAGATTTGGATGTCTTGATTTTCTTTTTATTACCTGATGGATCTGGATAAGACTACCAATACTAAGTTGAATAAAAGTGATGAAAGTAGATGTTTTTGTCTTGTGTCTGATTTCAGAGGAAAAGCTTTTGGTTTTTTAGTCAAGTATGAAGTTAGTTGTGAACTTCTCACATGGCCTTAATTATGCTGAGATGCAATACTTCTATATCTACTTTGTAAAAAATTTTTTACCATAAATGGATGTTGAATTTGTCAATTTTTCTGCATCCTTTAAGGATATGATTTTTGTCTTCATTTTGCTTATTTGGTGTATCACATTGATTAATTTGCGAGTGTTGAACTATCCTTGCATCCTTTGAAAAAATATCACTAGATCATGGTGTATGATTCTTTTAATGTATTGTCAAATTCAGTTTTCTAATATTTTGTTGAGGATTTTTGCACTTATATTTATCAGAGCATTAGCCCATAATTTTCTTTTCTCATGGTGTCCTTATCTGGCTTTGGTATCAGAATAATGTTGGCCTCATAAAGTGAATTTGGAAGTGTTTCTTTTTTCTGTTTTCAGAAGAGTTTGAGAAGGCTCCACAATTAAATACTGTTACACTGGGAATAGAGATTTTGACAGTAAGTGTTGAATGAAATAAATAAATGTTGGGGAGGGCGACAAATGGTCAAACCATAGCACCTTACTTCCTTCCCCATTTCTCTCTCTGTTTCTCTCCTTCCCTCCCCCTCCACATACACAAGCCCACAGCTAAGACTGTGGCGAGAGATATTTCAAAGCAGAGGCTCACTGCCTTCCTTGCCTCTCTTTGTTCATCTCTTTGTCTTTTCCATTTGCAGACCAAAGAGGGCATTAAACTGTTAGCCCTTTTACTGATGATATTTTCCCTACAATTAAACCCCGTGAACTGACAGGTGGTAAAGTCTTTGACCATGAAAATGAGCAACCCCCTCACAGAGGTCCTGCCGTCATTTTCTCAGAGGTTCTCTGCCAAGAGTGGGTAGGAGGTTTGATAGGATGATCTGGAAAGAATATACAAATTTTGATACTTTATGACAGGTACTATTTACCTTTATGTTTTGTGTGTGTGTGTTGTTGTTGTTTTGAAATTGTATTTATTTCTATCAGCTTCTGCCGGAGCCTGCCGGCAAACGAACTGGTCAAGAACGCAATTACCAGAGTACCTAGGAAATAAGACTCAGAAAGATGGGGTTGAGAGGGACTGAGTCAGCTTGCATCTGATTCCGACAACTTTATTGAAGAATACCACACCTATATATATGCTAACACGAGTTGCTAATAGATCAAAGGTTTGCATATGTGCAGAGCTACAGGCACAGATGTTTTAAATTCCTCCACTTAAGATCAGTAAAGCATTACCCTAGTGCCCAACATGATTAAGATCAATAGAACATTAACTAGATAGAAAACAGGCTTCAAGCATGATGAGTTTATCAGCACCAGGAAAACAGGCGAAAAGTCACCGGGGTGTTTTTTCCCTGAAGGGGACAAATGCCAGTCTATACTTTAACAAGAAGGGGTGGCAGGACAAAGAGAGACCCTTTGTTCTCTCTTAGGGCCGTAAGGGGCCTGTACATTCAGGCCGGCTCCCTGCAAGCTTCAATTCTTTTATATGTATTCTTCAGTCTTGTTTGTTGTTTGCAGGAAGAAGACCCAAGAGCTGCCCAGCTGCTGCCCCCTGCACAGGTACGTCAGCCCCGCCCCCTCCCCAGGGCTCCCAGGGGCTCCTTCCTCCCACCAGGGGAGTCACAGGAGGGGCTGCTGCCTTTTCAGACAGAGAGAAGCTCCGGCTCAGGGGAGGAGACAGCGAGTGCTCAGGGCGGGTGGAGGTCTGGCACAGCGGCTCCTGGGGCACCGTGTGCGATGACTCCTGGAGCCTGGCAGAGGCCGAGGTGGTGTGTCAGCAGCTGGGCTGTGGCCCGGCCCTGGAAGCCGAGCGGGCCGAGGCGTTTGGCCCTGGAAGCGGGAGCATCTGGCTGGACGAGGTGCGGTGCGGGGGCCGGGAGTCCTCCCTGTGGGCCTGTGCCGCGGGGCCCTGGGGGCAGAGCGACTGCAAGCACGAGGAGGACGCCGGGGTGAGGTGCTCTGGTGAGTGAGGGGCGCGGGTCCGCCCTGGTGAGTGAGGGGCTCGGGGTCCGCCCTGGTGAGTGAGGGGCGGGGGTCCGCCCTGGTGAGTGAGGGGCGCGGGTTCGCCCTGGTGAGTGAGGGGCTCAGAGTCCGCCCTGGGTGAGCTGGGGCAGCGAGGCAGCAGTGGGCTGGGACAGGCATGGTGGGGAGTTTGTGTTCAGAGTGTCTGGGTGCTGGGGCTCTGATCTAGGAAGGGAAAGCTAGGAGGACTGGACACTGATGTGGAGATTGAGGGGTGATTTCAGGTTCAGGAGGGAAAATTGGGCAGCCCTGCATCTGGCCAATTACCTTGGTCCAAACTGCTGTTTTTCTCTTTAGGTGCAAGGACAACATTGCCCCTGACTACAGCAGGTACTGTGCCTCCATCTACGGGCAGGGGAGAATACTCAGATTCTGGGGACCTGTTCTGTGGGCCCTCTGACAACTCAGGAGAGGAAAGAGCCTGAGGAGCCCATGGCTGGTGGGGAGGAGCCAGGGCATTATTTTGGGGAAATCCCCTGCGTTGGTTCCCAGGGTCAAATGTTCTCATGCCTGGGGGTCCAAGTGGGTTTGGTTTCCATATTGCAGAATCTAAGTATCTCCCACCTGCCCCTCAGTGTTGCTCCTCATCATTAGGTGTGGGTCCCAGGACTGTTTGATGCTCTGTCTCCTGAAGCCCAAAGGGAAGGGATGAGCCAGGTCCTCAGAGGCTGTCTCAGCAGGGCAGCTCCCTGACAATCCCCAGCTCTGCCTTGGAGCCACACTGGCCGGAGTGGAGTTAACTCGTCTCAGGGCGAGACCCTGGGGATCCTGTCAATGTCTGAGGCTGAGACACCATCATCTGGAGCTCCTGGAAATGCTGACACAGGGGTTTCTCTGTGCCCAGGACCTGTTCCAACCCTCTTCCTTTGTTCTCCTTAGGGACCAGACCAGCCTCAAATCCTCTCTCTGGTATCTTCTCCCTGCCTGGAGTCCTCTGCCTTGTCCTGGGGTCCCTTTTCTTCCTGGTCCTCGTCATCCTGGTGACTCAGCTGCTCAAATGGAGAGCAGAGCACAGAGGTGGGCTGCAGGGGTACCTGGGGACCAGGGAGCGTGTGTGCAGAAAGGAGATGGGGCAGGTGTGAGGAGGGCAACCTGGGCCAGGGCTCTGTTCTTAGTCTGCAGAACTCCATGTGCTCCATGCTGCGCTCTAAGGGCTAGGTAGACAGAGGACTGGGGTGTGAACTCTCATAAGTCATGGCCTCTCCTTTGAGACCAGACAAGTTGGGGCTGAGTTGTGGATTCAGGTCAGATGAGGGGAGAAGGTGCTGACATGGTGCATGGGGTGGGAAATGATGCTGAGGTCCTGGCAGCCCCGTGTGAGCACTGGGAGGAAGAAGGATGGGCCAGCTGGATCGGGGTGCCTGGGGTGGCATCTCTGACCTGTTGGGGATCTCTTAGCCTGCTGGATGGGCGTATCTGGGTAGCATGTCTGACCTGCTGGGGGATCTCTCAGCCTTATCTAGCTATGAAGATGCTCTTGCTGAAGCCGTGTATGAGGAGCTTGATGACTTTGTGACTCGGAAGGAGGGTCTTCTTGGTAGCCCACGTGGGTGTCTCTGCCTGCCTTCCTGGGACCTCTGGTTGTCACCACTCACTGGCTGTGCGGGTCTTCTCATTACCCACAGACCCCACATGTGCCCCAGGCTCACAGAGGCAGCCCTCCAAAGTGGTAGGATGGCCTCTCGAGCCCTGTGAGCCCCCAGCCTCTATCTACATTGCAGGAGCCAGGCCTGTCCCCTCTCAGCCTTAACACAGGTCCTGTGGGTTGGGGATGGTCATTCTGTGTGTTCTGTGATGTTTGTCTCCACATTAGGCTTCCTGTCAATGACTCAGTGGATAAACTGCCAAATTATACCAGGGACGGTGAGGAGTACAGTGACTATAGATTTGCACCAGGTAATGGAGGTGAACCCACCTCGGCTGGGCTTTGGGGAGCAGAGTTTCCCTCATAGAGATGAGATGCAAGGGGAACAGTCTCCCATGATGAACCAGAGGCATTCCTTGGGTCCAGATAGGGTTCGGCCTTCTTCTCTGGCTGTTCTGTGATGTCTCACATTGGGGCTGGGCTCTCTGTGTCCAGAATCACAACAGGCACACAATGTTTTAAAAAATAACATCTGAAAAGCACAACTTGTCAAAGTACTTTAGTTATGTTCAATGGTGTAAGAATTGCTTTGAGATATGCAGTTTACATCAGGAAATGTTAAGATATATAAAATCATGTTTTGGTTTATGGGTACATCAAAATGAAACATGGTCTTAGAGAAAAAATCTTTTGAAACAAGAAGTAACTGGTGCCTCTATTTAGCAACTCAGAAACTCTTGATCATAAGGGATTTTAGATATTTCCCAGACCAACCCACTTGTAGTTTCATCAGACCCCCTTGTTTGCTCTTGGAACCCCCAGATCAGAGGACTGATGTCCCTGCTGAAAATTAAGATGCTGAAGAGGTACCAGTGCCTGGGGCTCCTCCTGCCTCTCAGGGGAGAGAGGAGAAAGTGCCCCCAGAGAAGGAGGATGGGGTGAGGTCTTCTCAGAAAGGTGAGTGGGGTCAGCTGATTTCCTGCAATCTTTCTATCTGGGAAGGGTGAATTTGTGCTCCTCAATGCCCAGCCTTCCTAGTTATTCAAAATATAGGTAATCTCATACACTTGATAGCATCATCTTGACCATATGCCATCTTTAATGCTGTTATACTCCTTGTAAGGAGTGAGGAATCACTCTACTTTTGGCATTTATGTCTCCATAATGTGACATAAACTTACTATTTTATATGTGATATACTTGCATTAAGATTTATAGATTATGGAATTTCCTGGTGGTCCAGTGGTTTGGACTCCCTACTTTCACTGCTATGGCCCAGGTCCAATCCTGGTGAAAGAACTAAGATCCCACATGCATTGTGTCATGGCCAAAAGAGAAACTTATTGATTAATTGAGCATATTTATAAAGAAAGCTAAGTGCCAAAGAATTGATGCTTTGGAACTGTGGTGTTGGAGAAGACTCTTGAGAGTCCCTTGGACTGCAAGGAGATCAAACAAGTCAACCCTAAAGGAAATCAGTCCTGAATATTCATTGGAAGGACTGATACTGAAGCTGAAACTCCAATATTTTTGCCACCTGATGCGAAGAACTGACTCATTTGAAAAGACCCTGATGCTGGGAAAGATTTAGGGAAGGAGGAGAAGGGGCCGACAGAGGATGAGATGGTTGGATGGCATCACTGACTTGATGGACCTGAGTTTGAGTAAGCTCCAGGAGTTGGTGATGGACAGGGAAGCCTGGAGTGCTGCAGTCCATTCAGTGGCAAGAGTCAGACACGACTGAGTGGCTGAACTGAACTGATACATGAAAGATAGTGATTTAAAAAAATATATTGCAGTATTGAATTGGGTGAAGCATTTTTATAATTTAAGATGAGCTATGTTTATATGTTAACATCAACAAGTACAAAGTCTATGATATATGGTGACCTGAACATTATAACATGGTGGTGGATCTTAGACTCAGCATTTGTGATCAGTTAAGCTCTAATTTGTTCCAGTTATTTCAGTAGTTTGGAGAAGACACTCATTCACTAGAAAAGAATATTTCTCCATTTGAGGGCCTGGGTAGTCTCTGGGGAGGGGCCATCTGTGGCTGCACCTGTGATACTATTTGTGAACATTTGGGATCAGAGGTCAAGTCAACTAAGAGCAAACTTGTGTTGTGAGTGAGGAATTCAGATTGTTGCTGTCTCCAGACTCCCTCTTATTGTGACTTTGCATCTATCACCTGTGAAAGGAGAACATTTAAATTCCTTTTTATGATTCGTACTGTTGTTGGGCATCTCCTTGGTACTGTGTAGCCTGGAAGCAGGTCTTCCCAGAGCTCCTGTGTGAGCACAGATCTCCTGCGATGCAGGATTTCCACATGAGCTGAGGCCCCAGAGACCACATGAACTGGATCTTAGAGGACAGCTGGGATCCATCCTCTCTGTAACTCATGTGAAATAGCCTGAGCCTCCCTGCCCACAGCTGGGTCCCAGGGATGCTTTGTCATCACCACTTGCTTGACTCACTTCCACCCCAGGGCTCTGTCACATCCCCTTGTCTCAGTTCTAATCAAACTTCTCTTTACTATTTCAGCCTCTTCTCTGAACTTCTCCAGAGAGGTGACTGATCCTGGGGAAGGAGAAGAGAGTCCCTGGCTGCTCCAGGGGAAGAAAGGGGACCCTGGGTATGATGACGTTGAACTCAGTGTCCTGGGAACATTCCCAGTGACATTCCCATGATCTTGTATTAATACGAGATGAAGCCTCAAATATTCTAATTGTCTGTATTTCAGTAGAGTAGTGCTGACCTGTAGCTGTTTTATATGGAAATTGCTCAAAATGAAATATTCTGAATAAAGTAACTTTTTGCTGTGTTGGTAATTTAGCAAGTTCCATGTCAAATACTTTTAGAGAATTGGTCCTCAAACACCATTTTCCTCACAGTAAATGCAAGATGATTGAGCTGACCTGCTCTATCACCTGTCTTAGAGGCTAATGAAGGTATGATTTTACCCCAACTCACAAATGCTCCAGGTCACTCTTATTTAGAAAAGGATGTAAACTTGGTCTACATTTACACACTCCTTCCTAACAAGATGAACTCATGGGAAAAAACCCAATTCTGAACTTTCCTGGATGCTTTCCCTGAGACGTCGTATCACCTGTTTGTAACCTGTTCTTGGGCACCAGACGAATTTCAAAGTGGAAGCTTGACTGGTAGGAGAGAATGAATACAACTTTCCTTATCCTGCCTAAATGTTCACAGGACAGTTCAAAATCTAACTCTACACAGCTACATCTTCCTTTTTCATCTCTCATTCATTCCTTACGTGGATACAGATACCTCTTTGCTCTTCTCCCATGTCTAGTTGATTATGCAATCCTTATAAATCCTTCCTTTCCTC